AAGTATTTCTGATGCCGCGAAATAATAGACTTCAAGAATGCGTCTATGCATGATTTCAAATTGGAGAGTCACATGACCTGCTTTTTTCATAATTTTCTTGCCATCTGATTTTCATTTTCCGTCATGTCTTTTTTCAAAAATGTTAATACTAATTCAGGAAAAGTGTGTAAAACAAGTACCGGTCCGCAAATTTCAAATAGAGGGTCCAATTGTCAAAGAATAAAATGATACTCCCTCTTTATGACACACTTGTAGGAATGAATAGTCAATGCTCTCTTTCGTTTATTTTGAAGACAAAGGAGTCCAAGGAGTCCAGACTTATTGATTTTTCTCAACATTTGGCAAGCGGCAAACACGCTCTCAGAATTATTAATGATCTAATTAGTGTCTTGGCTGACACGACGAAATTGCCCCAATGGTCCGAAAAATATCTAGGAAAAGTCAGGAAAGGGCTAGAAATTTTCCCCCCGAACTTCGGTTTAGGCAAAGGGCTGCCCGTAAATTACGTAATGAGATTTTTCCGATTTTTTTATACCCAACCATCCCTTGTAACGCGATCATAACGTCGGTTTACATACCCTCAAAATGATTATATTATACAACATTTGCCTCGAAAACCTCCACGCTTTCACAACAAAACTCGAAAAAAGCGTGCGTTGGTGTAGTTTGTATAAATTGGCAAGGCTATAATAAATTAAATTCAAATGTGATCGAAAAAATGATTCTCTGAAGCACTAAAGTGAGAACTATGTGTCCGTATGAACTTAATAATTAAAAATAAATGTTACGAAAAATACAAAAGAAAAAATAATTATTGAGGACAATAACTGGTAATCCACATATATAAAACCCACAGCAAGTCTATCACCGCGGTTTTCTGTCCTCTGTGGACGCACCGCTGGACTGATTTTCTCGTACTTCATCTCATTTTGAAATTGCTTACAAGGCGGGTGTGCATTGACTTTCGATTTTCCCGCTGCACGTCGTTTTTCCAATTTTTTATGGTTTTTTTTTTTAAAAAGAAAGAAATTTCTCCGTTACATCTATGAAGTAAAAAGGAGAATCGATTTTCTGGTTTTCTACACGAAAATGATCTCTAGCCGACGCAGGACGATTTCCTGATAAATATATTTTTCTGGCAGCGCTAGCGCTTAAGAGCAGTCTCTAGAACGGTGTGGCGATTTTGCAAGTTGGCAACATTTTTTTCCCTCAGTTTAAATCCATTAAAAATATCGATTTTAGGTGAGGCAAATCGCCTCGTCAAGAGTCGATTCTTTTGCATATATTCAAATGGAGGAAAAACGAAGTTGCCAACTTTCAAGAGTCGCCACTGGTGTGACCGAATAATCGTGACGTGAAACGCAAAGCGCCTACAAGACTGTAGGAATACTTCATGCATTGCGTCAAAAACGGTGCGGTCAGGAGCGGTCGACGTGAAACGCATAGCGCCTACAAGACTGTAGAAATACTTCACGCATTGCGCAAAACACAGTGCGGTCAGCGCGGCGCGGCGGCGGAAGTTAGAATTATTGAACCACATTTATGTTTGTTCTTTCATTATTTTTTCGTTCATTTCTTATAAATGGAGGGCCTTGTCCACGCAGAGATAGGTTTACGGAACTTAACTTTCGCGCAAAGTTCCGTGAAATTTTGCTGGTAGTGTTGACATAGAGTTTTCGCAAAAAATGTGTCCAACACGAATAAACGCGTCTTATGCACCCCTACCCCTCCGGCACGTTCACTTGATGGTTTTTATTGATGTTTCAAAACGAACGAGAAGGGGGCGGCAAGTAGGTGAATCCGGCCCTGCTTTTTTCCCATTTTACATTGAATAACCAAGCGCGAATTTTGTTTGTTTTTAGGAGCTCTCAATTCCACACCGAAAAAAATAATATGCTGTTTTAGCATCTAGGATGTCAAAAATGTGTCTGGTGATCCCAAGATGCTGCCTTTACTGCCCCCGCAGTTAATTTTACATCCTGTGAATGCAAATTCAACTGCGGGGGCAGTAAAGGCAGCATCTTGAGATCACCAGACACATTTTTGACATCCTTGATGCTAAAACAACATATTATTTTTTTCTGTGCAGAGCTGAAGAACTTTCAAGCTGCACCATCAAGGAATTACAAAGTTTTGTCTTTTTGGCTACAGAGCTCCCTTTCTGAATTGATCGTGAATAACATTCTCCAAATGTTCCATGCGTTTTAACAATTTCGGCTGATTTTTTTCTTTCTTTCTTTTTTTATTTTTTATTTTTTATTTTTTTTCTTTCCAATTCGGATTTGGACGCCTCCTACAACAAGTGATTCTATTGGGAGAGAGGCAGTTTCATAATAAGAGTGAGATGAATTGCGAAGGTCCAAAAGACTTGTTTGGACCGAGATCCTGGAGGCCGATCTTGCCATCCGTCGAAGTTATGTACTGTCAACGCGAGGTGAACTTCTCTCACTGTTTTCAAACCGATACTTTAAAAATAACCACCCTCAACTTTTCCGTCTTCCCCTTCAACAAAAGGCTCCAAGTCACTCGAACGAGCTGACCCCAAGATAACCTCAAAAATAAGTCGCATTCCGGAAATAGCTTTGTTCGGGATTCCGACCCACCTTATTCCGTCCTCCGGGAACGGATCGGTCTCCCAATTTATTGACAGGGTTGCCGCTTCGTGCAAATTAAATTTTCACAATATTAGTGATGCTCGCTACATGATAAGCAGTTTTTCCCGTGTTGACAGCGTTAGCTTTCGAGGTTTACGTGCTATTCGTGCTGGTTGTAAAGTTAATTTCGTTTCTTTATTGCTCGAATTTCGCGTCGCTCAATTAGCCCGCTATAAATTTTATGACTTTGCATGCGTATTTGCGGACATTACTAAGCAGAATGACTATCTATAAAGAAATTTTTTAAACAACGTACAGTTCTATCCAATTCGCTGTCACAAGAGCGTGCTCCAAGCAGGTGCCGCTCTTAGATCTAGTAGATTTTTGTGCTTAACTACGACAAATTTTCCGTAGGAGATGGAGCTGGATATGGGTGGGCTGGATGGCAGTGGCTAGTATTTAAATTTCTGCAAACGTTGCTGAAGATGCACCAAATCGATGACCGTTTACTGATGAACCAGAGAAGCGCCATTAGGTGTTGCTAATGTTGTGCATTATGCTGCTCTTTTTAAAGTAAATTAATGCTCTTGCGTCTTGGACTTTTCACTGTGAAGTTTTAGGTTTTGAATCTTAATTTTATCATGAGAATTAATATTACTTGGCCTTTAGACGCCCGTTTACTGCAAGGAACATAAAAGTCGCACGATCTTAGCAACACCTGATGGTGCTTATCAGGTTTGGAATTTCCACTTCTCAAATAAAGGCATCCTTACTGCAAAATTTAGTCTAGATACCTATCAATGAGTTCGAAAACGACCGATCCTCTTTTTCCCAGTTCTGTTTTTATAACCTTTCGCTGCGGTAGGCGGTACGCTAGGCCATCCTACTTTCAATTATTGCCGCCAAAACTTTAAAGTCTTTAAGAACAGGGGTGCAGAAAACTTAAAGCCTTCCTTTTTTTTAAAACCCAGTCTTCCCTCCCAAATGTCCATTTTCTCCCTTAATTTAAAATATGCTGGAATTTTGCGTAAAACACTCAGTTTTTACGATTATACGCAAGTCGTCCCTTTTTCAAAACTTTTTCGCGAATTTCCATTTTTAAAACCATTTTCAGGGTTTCTCTCTCCCCCTTTTCGCACGCGACCGATCGGAGAAGGAGTTTTTATACCCGTGCTCTTACTCAGATGTAGTTACTTCGAAAGATGAGAATTTTTGAATTTCCAACAGTGTTAGAAAAGTATTTCAGAAACAGGAGACAGGTCGTCTCCATCTTTGCGTTGATTCAATTGGAACTAGTTGAAACCACCAGAGGTGTCGTCAGCTAAGATGGCATTAGTTTATTGTCCTTTTGAAAGCGGCCGCGATGTAGTCGTCCAATAGTGATCGAAAATTGACCGCAGCCACATCGAGCATGGTGAATCCTCGATTGCTATTGGACGACGGCATCGTGGTTGCTTGCAAACGAAATGTAAACAAGTGCCAACATAGCTGACTCTATGAGCTTAATCCGCGTTTTATTACCGGAATTACCTTCCGGCAAATCCGGATTTTTTCCGGATTTTACACATTCAAGAAAGTCCCGACGAACGAATAGGTACAAATAATCTATTGCAAACCTTGGCGAATTATACTTTACCTCTCCGGAAAAATATTGGTGATTGGATTCTTAGTGACCAGTTCTTAATGACTACCAAGCAAGATCCAGGCCGCGCGTCTGTCATCGTGGTCGATTTGCCGGCGACGCGACGGCGCTCTCATAATTCGCTTCAATGGAATAATTGCCCCGTGACAGATCTCTGTTGAGCAGTTATCATATTTTAAATTTATTGCTGCGCCGCCGCCGCGCGAGCCAGCGCGTGATCAATGTTGTCGTATCATGCCCAAGATCTTGAGTTACGCATCCTAGTGATAATCACCTTCTATTTATGTTCAAAGAGTTTTATAGGTAATCGTGTTTTTCAAGGGATAGTTACAGAAATTCCCTTGATAGCTCACCGTGCAAAATCCGGAATTTTGCTGAACTGTTCCGGAAAATCCTAACGAACAAAAATAATCCACTGCAAATAATGGCGAATGAGTATAATGTAGCTCGCTCACCGTAAGAATTATTCGGGAAGCTTCAATCGTTCTCCACAAAAAAATTATTCTTCATTTCACCTTAACCCTCAATTGGATGAAAACGCTCATGTTGAAGTCGTAACCGAGCCAGAGTAAAACTGTCTCTATTACCCGACTGAAAACTAGAAAAGAGAATAGGTATACGGTTTGCATATTTGTCCCCTTTTGGTCGGTTTCTTTTTTTTGGGGGGGGGAGGGGTTAATGTCATTACTTTTTAACTCAAACCTGTTTCATATTTATTGATACCATATTTTACTAAGTGATCTTTATTTTCTTTTTGTTCACAGGAAAAAGAATACAAGAATATATAGGTGTATGCCTTGGTTTAACACTAATGTCAATAAACCTAATACTGATATTATCTAGATTTAAAATTGAAAATATTAGCACTGTTGTAATATCAGCATTAGGTGGCATTGTGACCGCAGATTTTCTATCTGGTTTTGTTCATTGGCTGGCTGATACGTGGGGATCAACGGACCTACCTGTCATAGGAAAGGTACTGATTGCCAAATTTTTTATTTTAAATTAACTTCTGCCCCTTAAAGAGGCTTTCATTAATCAAAAAGCCGAGAAGTATATCAGTTTAAACTGTCAGAAACAAAGAAGTTTAAAAATTAAAAGGTTAAGATTTGAAAACACATAATTTTATATGCCTCACCTGAAGATGTTTTACATCACCGTGCTAAGGAAAAACGCCGTAAGAACCTTCGTGCGTTGCCAAATTTCCCTTGCTAAAACATGAATTTCCTGGTAAACTTATGAATATTTTCCCTCCAATTTTTCAGAACATTCTGTTCGCTGCTTCCCTTTGAGTTCCTGAAAATTTGAGGGAAAAATATTCATAACTTTCCTCAAAAATAAATATTTTTGCTATGAAATTTGGCAACATTCGAATGCTCATCAGCATTTTTCCTTAGCAAGGCGGTACAGGTTTTCTTGATTTTCCGGAGCTTCTTTGGAAGAGCTCCTCTTCAGAACAGACCTTTTTAGGCCCAGAAGCTAACATTTAAATGCATTACCCGGTGGCGAGGCATGAATGATCGATTATCGACATTTCCCCATTTGAAGCTGTGGTAATGAATCGATTATTAAGGTATTCATCACCAACCTCCTGTTTATCGATCTTTTTCCAAGGTTTAAATGGCATGATCAATCGATAAATCGCAAAGCACGCCACGCGCCACGCCAAGGCACTAGTTTTCATTTCAAAACATATGTATTTTAGGCTGTTCACAGTAAGGAAGGAAGTATCTTGCACGAAAGTAATCTTTGAACTTAATTACAAATTGCGTTCTTTCACTTTTTTCAGAATTTTTTACGTCCTTTTAGGGAACATCATGTTGACCCAACGTCAATTACTCGCCATGATTTTATTGAAACCAATGGAGACAACTTCATGGTTACCATTCCGTTCCAATGCCACATGCTGTATCAGTTCCTAGTCATGTCCGAAGACGAATCACAGAAAGTATTTTCGTGGACCTGCTATCTGTATCTTCTAGCTATTTTTGTAGCTATGACAAATCAAGTTAGTAACTTACATGCCATTTTCTTTAAGCACCTGTATTCTTAAATAAATAAATGCCCTAATTACTTTTTAGCTCTCATGAGTAGATTTCTGTTAGGAAATTTGGCATGCATCTTTCAGCGACGAGCTGATGCACTAAGTATTGGATGAAAATTCTGAAAGCTTAGATACGCAGAAATTTTGATAAAACCAGAAAATACCAATATTTGTCACAGAGAAGATGTGTTGAATTAATTGAGAACCACCTGAATGGAAATCATTTAATTTAAACAGAATTTTGGCCTTTTTCCTGGTAATGTATTGGTGTTGTTCCATCTTACTTTATCCAGGGCCGGATTTGCCAACTTGCCGCCCATGGGCCGCCTGCATTTTGCCGCTCCCTTATCATTCGTGTTGAAACATCAATAAAAACTATCAAGTGAACGTGCCGAAGGGAGAGAGGTGCATTAGACGCGTTCATTCTTGTTGGACACATTATTTGCGATAACCCTGTCGACACTACTAGCAAAAGTTCACGAAACTTTGCGCAAAAGTTCACGAAACTTTGCGCAAAAGTTGAGTTTCGTATACCTATCTCTGTGTGGACGAGGCCTTCCATTTGAAGAAATGAACGAAAAAATTTTGAAAGAACAAACATAAATGTGATTTAATAATTTTAACTTCCGCCGTTGGGCCGCGCTGACCGCAATGGGTTTGGCGCAATTCTTAAGGTATTCCTACAGTCTTGTAGGCGCTTTGCGTTTCACGCCGACCGCTGTTGACCGCACTGTGCTTGACGCAATGCGTGAAGTATTCATGCAGTCTTGTAGGCGCTGATATGTGTTACATGCCGACCGCCGCGCCGAGGATCATCTCAAGTTCTCGTCATCATTGCTCTCTGCGCCGCGCCGTTCCAGGCCAAATTGCGTGTTTGGTTTCTCCCTTAACTCGACTAATTAAAGGTGCTGTCTCTTGTATCACCAAAGTATGACAAAATTAGAAATTACTATACTCTCAGGAAATGAGAGATTTTTTCACCTTTTCTCGTTTGTAATTTTTGCTTGAATCCGATTTTTTTTTATACCTATATTTAAAAATTGCAAAATTTGCCGCCCCCTAAATTTGCCGCCATGGGCCGCGGCCCATGTGGCCATCCTCTAGATCCGGCCCTGACTTTATCACCAACTTAATTTTTTCAAGTAACTAATGCTCTTTGTATTTTTTCTTTTCTAGATTCATAAGTGGTCTCACACTTATTTTTACCTGCCCAAGTGGGTTGTATTTTTACAAGACTGCCATATCATCTTACCCAAAAGACACCATAGGTACCATCATGTTGCACCGCATGAAACATATTATTGTATTACCACTGGCTGGTTAAATTGGCCTCTGGAACAGGTAAGATTCTGGCCGATTTTAGAAGTATTAATTACGAAAGTAACTGGTTGTAAACCCAGGGCCGATGATTTAAAATGGGCAAAAAAGAGGATATGAGCCATAATGTACTGCTTTATTTGCAAAGTGGTTTTGCATGCCATACATTTTTATTTTTACCAATTTATAATTTTTTGTACTTTCGATTACTGACAAATTTATTCACCACCGACGTTTACATTTTCCGAATTCATCCATCTTTGGGAATTGTAGGATTTTCAATGTTTATCTTCTTTTCTTTTGGTTACTGTAAATATTTTTCTTAATTTTTTACTTCATTTTAAGGAGACTTATTGTCAGTATATTTAGGGCCTTAAAGTATTTAATTGTGATAGCAAGAAAAAGTAATGAAGTTCCTATCTTCATTACCTTCTTATTTTCAACAGATATTGAATTCCATGTCTGTGTTTTTTACCCTAAGCTCTAATCAGGTATCAAGGTAATAATTTCTGATACCTTGCAATTCTCAAATTCTTTTCACAAGAGCTTTTTCTAAAAAAAAAAAGTAAGGCACCATTGCATGAGGGTTGGCCAAATATGGAAATAGACGAAAATCACCAGAGATTTTCCTTCAAGGGGCTGCCTATAAATTGCACAAAATGATTTTTCCAATTTTTTGACATCCGCCTATCCCTTGTAGCGCAATCAAATGCTGATCCAGACTTACCTAAAATAATTATGTAACATTTGCCTCAACCCCATGCCCTCCTTTTTTCATGAAAAAAACTTGATAAGATTTTTCTTACTGAAAAAAAGGAGGCGTAACCTCTGTTAATTAGAAGGCTCTGTGTTTTAAGGAACAGAAAATGAAACCAAAATAAAAATTGAAAAGAAAAAAGAATAAAAAAATTGAAATCAAGTACACATACCATTGCGTGATGCTGAGCTTGATACCTTCCCCTCACCCCTTGTCGGGGTCCCAAAATTATGAGGGCCCACCCATCCCTCAAAGCTTTTTATAATTTATGAACAGCCCCTAATCTATCACACTTCCCTTTTGTTACCTAATCATGCCTGAACCTTTTTTTATTTCTCATTCTTGCTCATGGGGGGAAAAGTGGAACTTATTATTGAATGGCAATGCCACCAAATTTTTAGTATCCTACGAGTATTAATCCAGCATACGAAGGCTAAGAATTGTCAGACCCTTTAAATATCTGTTCAGACTGTTTTTACATCGAGTCAGTACTACCGGAGAAAGTGCGTTTTTCTCAAAAATGCATCCTATTTAATTTAAACGAAAATAGTACCTGAAAATTAAATACTATTTTCTATCAGTGAAATTTTTTAGGCATTTTAGGACAATAGGCGGAACAGGTTGAGTAAATGCTTGTCTTGAGGTCAAATGATTTCAATAATTCGGACCAAGGTCTATCATTGATTGTAGCTCGGGTGTAATTAAAATTTGTTCAACTCTAAATTTAGGTATGATTATGGTTGCAGCTGTTAATTGTCTGGAAACAATATTTTTATCACCGAATGTTGGTGATCTTTAGTTTTTTAATAATCTAGATGAAAGACATGGAAAAATCCGTGTCAAAATTATAAAACTATTATTTTTTGGTCATTCGTACCTTTTTATATCTAGAAATCTTGCAGTAAGGCTCCTAACAACGAAAAATTGCTCAGTATCTAAAATAATTTTTACTAATCAGAAAGGAAGAAGTGGTTTTGGACCATATAATTTTTTATCTTGCTGAAAGTTCATTATTTTATTTTTCTCATTATGTTACCCTTTAAGTGTGCCATCACACTTTGAAGTTTGTCTCAATTTTGAATATTTGATTGTTTTCAACCTTATCAGTCACTATCACCGGAGAAGGTGTGTTTATAAGGTTTGTTTTCACTTTTTTGTCTCGTTTTTTCCTTTCGTTTTTTCCTCTTATTTAACATGAATGTTACATCTTAAGCATTATCCATCCATAACCATTGTGTTTTCTCTCAATACCTAATTGTATTTTTTTAGCAGTTAAAAATCAATTTTACAACTTTAACATCGTAGCAGTGAGTCTATTTCCAACGCTAAATATATTTTTGTGAGCCCAAGACAATTTTAGTGTGAGAAACGTATCTGACCTTAATGTGTTTGCAAGTGAAAGTGAACAGTAACAACTGTTTAACATCTAGTAAGATCAACTTCTCATTTTAATATCCTCCAACAAAAACTTGTTCTCATCTGTGTGTCAAATTCTGCAAAAACCTATAATGCCTCTACTGCAATAATTTGCCTATCCAGCACAAGGAAGTTATGTAGCTAATTTTAAACACGCATTTGCACGCACACCAAAAAAAACAAAAACCTCACCAAAATCCTCAATATGACGATCTTTAAAAGGATTTACAATAGGTAAAATGGCTTGTTTTGTAAATGGCATGTTTTCTATTTTTTGCTAAATTATCTAAGAATGCTTTTTTCATGTTGGGAGGATACCAATGTAATGGTTCAATTGGTTCCAATACATATTCATGAGGGTTAAACAGGAACCAAATATTTTCTCTTCAAAGGTTGAGGTCTCAAGAAAGGCATAATCTTCCAATAGGAACAATCAATTCATATGTCATTCATGAGGACAGAATTTTCGTTCTGCTGCAATCAGCAGACTTGAATACTCTCTTGAATCTTTTTGGTATCTTTAAATGGAGCAGACTTACACACAGATGGTCCACTTTCTTTGCTCGTGCACCGTTCATTTTACACTTTTTCTTTTGAACCTAGTTACGATTCTGTAAGTTCTGCACCTTGTCTGATGACTTACATCGCAGGTGTTTCTAATTGCATGGGAGTGTCTTTATTTTTATATCAGAATATTTAAGAACAAAGAAGCAGTAACCAAAGTACAAATTACCGTTAAAATAGCTTAAGCGTAGATTTTTTTGTTTCGCAACAATTGCACTTTTAGCAAAGTCTATTTCCCCCTCCCCTTTCCACCAGAGATAAAATCTTAATTAAGATGGAATTTGTAGGGTTTACTTACTAATTACTTTGCCTGAGAAAATTTGCTGTGAACGATAGCTAGGTTTCAATTCCGTAACTCCACAAAAATGTATTACCTATCAAAACATTTTAATCAATTAAGTTTGTCTTTGTCCTCCCTCTGGAAAATAAAAAGGAGCTGATGAATCACTGTGTCATTGTTATGAAGTTAAACCTCCGCGCAAACCAAAAAGCACGTATCTACCATTATCTCAATGCACTAGATTGTGAAGGAACTAGCCGTCCATTATCGTAACTGTGTTATAAAATATGCAGCTGCATTATAATCGTCAATTTTATACATGAGCTATTTTAATGGTGTAACGAATTTTATGCCAAATTTCTCTTTTGTATTTATTTTCTGAATTGCACAACCTCCACTTTTAAGTCATGCTACTCTTTATCAATTTTTGAAGCAATTGCTTTTTTGTATTTCTCTGGATTTGTTATCAAGCCATTATTTGTACTACAAGGCACTGCACCCAAATCGGACTCTGTCATGAACACTAAGTACATTCTCTGGCATTTAGTTTACTATGATTTAGAACTGAGTTAGAAAACTGTTAAAAAAACTGTCTAAAGTATTTGGTGTTTTATTTTTTGAATTAGGTAATACTAATCCAATGTTAATCATTTGGACCATTTGAATTTGACCCTACTGCCTTTTCTTGTGAGCAGTTTGCAATATTTTCGAGATGAATTTAAAATTCATTTTCTTCCCTTCAATTATTGCTTTCCTATTCCAATAATGAAAACATAAGTGCTTTCACATGTTCAGAATTATTGGATTCTCATCTTTGTCATTTTCCTCTCTAAATATTTTTTTTTTTTTTTTGTCCACCATCTTTGTTTAAAAAGAATACTTAATTGATGTTTAGTTCCTCATAAGAAGCGTGTGAATTCTTAACTAAAATTTAGGCATTATGTCTGAAGGCATGTTTCAACCTGTTACAACTACATAAAAGGAAAAAACAGACTCAGGATTCATGGCGAAGTACTTTCTTGATAGATTTTTTTCCTTCATTTTATCTATGGTTAGTGTTATTTGTTAGAACAGCATCACAAGTTCTTTGTCGGTTATATGTCTTTATGATGTAGTTATTGAAAAAAAATGTATACTGGACCAGTTTGTTAAATAGTACGTGAGCACAATTTGACAATAAACTGATTTTCATTTCACAAAATTACATTTGAAGTGTTGCGTTTTCTTGCGAGACTTGGAGTCTCTAAGTTAAAGACAAAAAGAACTGTCTACATGCACATCATTTTATCAATGCATACTGTTCGCTTGGTACTAACAAATAACATTTACTGGTGGATTTTGTACTGATAAAAAAATTGATTCCTCATTACCACAGCACAATTAACATCATCCTTTATGCTTTTAGTCGAAACCTTGTTATCATCCTTAAGATTTTTTTGCCATATGAATCTTGTCATGTTATGAAAGTGAGAAAATGCTTTAATGGAAGCACCTGTGTATCCACATTGACATGATTAAGTTAGATCTTTGTGAAAAAAATACCAGTGATGTTATCAATTATTTTAATTATTGCAAAATTTTAAATATATGTTATTTCATGTTGTTATGCATCAGAGGATTTAAAATCGGTTGCCTAGATATTTGATCTGCTCAGCACAAATTTATTGATATGTTTCAATTATTTATCTCATTTTCTTTAAAAAATGTATTTAATAGCAAGTCTTTTACTTGTTAATACTTGCATCAAACTCGATTTGTTTATGTAGATCATCTGTAGAATTTTTTAAAGTTGGTTTGTTTAGAGATGAAGCTAAAAAATATTTTATTTATTTAATTAATTGCTTTAGTCATGAGTATGAATGGAGATAGAGAGATACGGTAAATTTTCCTGTTGTAAATCCGTTGATTTAGTGACTACTTGTAAAGTTGTTAGCGAGATTTTTGTTTTGACTTTCACTATTAGATTAAATTCAAGTTGAATTGTTATTGTACCTACTTGCCTCATTTAAGTCCCAGGGCAGACCAAAAAAGAAGTGGAATCAATTTACCGCCGTGTTTTACGAAGTGCAGTATTTCTTGTTTATTAAAATTTTTTGCCTGCCGAAAGAAGTGAAAAGGAAAAGCATTGCTTTTCTAATAAACAATCGTGTCTTATCTGAAAACGTGTTCATTTTAGCAGGCTAAGGAATAACATAATTTTTAGGCAGCCATTTACATACATAATTTAAAAACTTTGAATACAGGTGTGCATGCCCTCCAATCGTATTTAAAATCTTTATTTTCAATCAGAAAAGTGTGTTTTGCATTTTTTTAAACAATTAAAATGTATGAAGAAAATAAAGTATAAAATTGCGTCTGCGCATATTTTTTTAAAGAGTTTTTCATTTCTGGTGCTTGACAAGAACCTCTCTCACAGGGAATTTAGCCTTTTAAATGCCTACTTAATTAATTTTTATGTACTCTCTCCAGTTGTAGATTTGCGATAATTTGAGGATACTCCTGCACACAAACTTATATTTCTATTTGAGCTTTTGTGCAATTCATATTCATTTCTGTCCATCATGTCAATTATGATGATTGTATCTTCTTGTGTATATGTCCTTGTACCTTTTAATGCCAAAGGCTGGCTAAGCCATTATAAGACATAGTGAATGATATAAAAATGATGCAACAATGCATTAAAGAAGACCCCAGTCCTTTTTGGTTGAAATGTCTGCCATTGTAAAACTGTTTTTGTGAGTTTATATTTTCATCTATTGCTTGTTGTGTAATTAGCATCATGTAGTTAAATACACTGAATTAGTTGGCTTTTAGCTTAACTTTTATATCATTCACTATATCCTTGTAACTAGGTATTTCTCTCTTACATGCATTCTCTGTAGTTGCTGTAGACTTTGAACTCAACCTGTTTTCTTCAAATGATAAAAAGTATCCTATCCAATTACAATTGGTAGATACTCAGACATGGTCTGATATGGAGAAGTGTAATTGCAATGCACTCCTAATGAGATGTGATCATCGTTTGTGTTTCCTGAAGTAACCTACCGCAAGCATGGGCGGTATAGAGCTGTCAAAAGTGGACCGCAGATTGTTGGAGATTGCTGCAAAATAAAGTTTACCTAGTCAAAAAGTCAATTTCCAGCAATCAAATGTCAATTAAAGCGTTGGGTACAACTTGAGAAGGGCCCTTCTTGGTATACATTGTTTTGAGATTTAAGGGATTGAAAGTTTGAATGTTGTATCTGTTGGCATGTTTGGCCAGATGTCGTTCAATCGTTTTTCCCATCAAAATGTAAGTCTTCTCAAAGATATTGATGGTTGTAATCCTCATTTGAATGAACTTTAAAGTAGAAATAAATAATCAAAGCTGCAGGATGAAGTGTCGTTTCTGCATAAAGCGAGACAAGTCATACAGAATAGTTGTGTTCTCTCAGTTAAGTCAACTTTTCTTGGACGTATATCAAAACCCTTTTACGTACTCAATTGTAATTACTTATAGCATAAATCTGTTCTTTCTGATCCTTTTTTCACCTGAAAAACTAATGCAATCTGTTCAAATGATTTTCCAACCCATCCATCCCTACTTATTATACGAGTATATTAGCATAATGAACTGAGGACCTCATCCAATTTTTTACTTCAATATTGTCTGCAATTATACATTACTTGACGGTGGTAATATTTTTTAAGTTTTCATCTCACACATTATTTTCTAAGCTAGCTAAATTACGACTTTTCTGGTATGCAGCTCTGCTTAAATTTTCCTGGTTCATTTCTTACACTTTGATTATTCCGACCCCTTCCTTTGATTCCCCTCAATTTTCCCTCAATTTCCTTTGATTAAGCCCTATTTTATTCTTACAGGCTTTTACCTACCTATTGACGACGGTGAATCACTTGCCTATACAGATTTTTCTCTTCTCTTAAATTCTGAAGTATTGACAGCATGATTGTTACCTTTTTCCTCATCTGTCTTTTTCTTTGTCTATGGTCTTTTAATTTTAGATGTAGGTGTATTTTATGGGGAATGTTTTTCCTCAATGATGAACCATGAGTTTTCTATTGTTGTAATTTTTGATTCATTAATAAACTGCACAATGCCAGCTAGTCAGTTTCATTTGTCACATAATTGGATTTTAAGTGTTGCAGATGAGAGTAACAACAGAAAATTAAATTTTTTCAAACACCAAAACCTTGATAAAAATTTCACCCTTCAGAAAGGTGTATTACTTACTTCTTCCACCCTGGTAATGCATGTCTACAACTGTTTCTTGTCCCAGCTTACACAGTGTCAAACACGAAGGTTAAAATTTTTATTAATATCGAGATCACAGAGGCGTTTGGATGGATCTCATTATACATGCTCTGTTAATGAGCCTTATAATCCAAGATATGATTCTGAGGCATGCCCAGATAACCCTCAATAGCTATTTTGCCATCTATTTATGAATTGATAGATAGAAAATATAAGACAGAATGATGGGTTATGGGGATATTTTTTTTTTTTTTTTTTCATATTTAAATGCTTACATTATTGTCAAAAATGTCGTGTAGATTATTACGATCAGGATTTGGGGCATGCAAACGTTGTTTATTGTGTAGATTATTACGATCAGGATTTGATGGGGCATGCAAACGTTGTTTGCTTCTATTTTCGGTTCTTGCTCAAACCAGTATAAGAATCAGCCATTTTTCACAGAAGCCTTACCTTCATTGTGAGGCTTAAAAATTTAGATTGGTCTCAAGTCCTTGCTTTTTAGTGATTAACTGTAGATGTGTTTTTACTGTCATTTGAGTCAGCTATTAGTGTGGATTTTAAAGGAGAATCCAAATTTTATTTTAGAGAATCAATTTTAATAACTTTCAGAATAATTCTAAATCAGCCATTTTTTTAAATTACCTATATTTTTATCATTATTAATTTCATTGATGCCGTCAGGTAATTCCCTCTGCAGGTATTTCTTCATAGTTCTAAGGTAAAAGTATAGACAAACAATAATGTACCTACCTATAAGGAAAAAACTAATTCTTGTTTTTTAGAAAAGAATAAAATATTTTTTATAAAAAAGTTGTCTTTCTTCTTCTTCTGATTTGTTGCACCCTATAACTGTGTAATAAAATCAAATAAAATTTATGGAAGAGAAAACTGTGTGTTTGCTATTTTTCAGTTTGGCAGTTAAAACTCAAATGGTAGTAGAGCCCGCACTGAGTAAATTAATGCTCTTTTAGAGTGTGACAGAGAATCAGCCGTCTTCAGTTTAGCATTGATAGTAACTGCAAGAATCAAGATCTGCTATTTCATTCATATGCGTAAATTTATATGTTGGTTAAAAACAAGCACAAATCTTCTGAGGAAGAAGATATTTTTCTCCAGATACTACCGTTCCCCGTAAAACATTGTAAGCATTTTTGAAGCCACGATACAATGACTGTCTAATGTTAGGGGCGAGAAATGAGCCTAGCTGCTGTGGAAAAATACTGTCACCATTGCTTATGCTTAGTGATTTCACTCTCATGCAAAGCATCGTTAAAAATCGTAACTCCTTGAAAGAAATTTTACTTGTCTTTAGTGAATTCAGAGTCCACAACTGCACAGTGATGAGATAAAAATAAGAGATGCTGGAATGATATCCAGAAAATGCGAGTGTTTGTTTGTCTAGCTTTGGTTCATTTTTCTTTCTTTTCCAAAAAATGAAAGAGCCGTGCAGCCCTAAAAATTCTAGAAAGATTTTACCCCCTTCAGACTTGTGGCTACAAGACTTACAATATACAAAAAAATAAAGTTTAAGTAATGTCTTAATCTATTAAGACATTATTAAAATTTTTCTTTCTGGTTAATTACCCTAAGAATGTAATTAATTTCCCTCTAATCTTAGTTGTTTATATTTAAGAACATAAATAGACATTGCAGCTAATTTTTCAAACCAAAAATTGCTAACCACATAAAAGTAAATCCATGAAGCTTCACAACTTCTTCAACAAGGAGGTACCGAAAGCATCACCTGTGCAACGATTCCATCAATAATTTATTAGCCTTCGAATTGATAGTAAACAGAAACAAAATAAAGAAAAAAAATTGTAGATCTACAGCCAGTTTTTAATAACTTTCAAATACAAGCAAAGGCCTTCTTTAGATTCACATACAACAGGTTAAGCAATTTTTGCGCACTCCTTCATTTCCTCTAAAGTTGGCTTGATTATTTAGCTAATGTGTGAAAAAGCATTCAATATTGTCCAGGAAAATTTGACAGTCTGATCTTGGATCAAAATTCCTCCAATGAAACACACAAATCTCTGATCCGTCCCTAAATCAGTCTACCAGAATGGCTTCCGTTGGGCCCTGACAGGGATGCGTACATTGAGGAGAGAGGTAGGCATATGCAAAGAGAATTTACAATATTCAATGGAGTAAGGAGCGCAAAACTAAATGACCTACCTCTCTCGACTTCTGACAATGTATCTAAAATCAAACCACAATGCTCCCTACAATGGGCTACAATGAAGTAATTTTGAATTGAAAGTTCGATTTCTTTTGAAGTTGAGTAGCTGAATGAAGAAGCTGCAACTCTCTTGACAACTTGGACTGAGTGACCAAAGAGAGAACAAGAGCAATTCAGGAAAAAAGAACAGAAGGAATCATCAGTACTTGCGAAAAAATTGCTTTTACAGGAGTGCAAAATTTTATGGACCACATCATATCACTGTAACTCATCTCCTAATCGAATACATTTCTTTAAATTATAATTCATAATCCTATTTTGCCTTAAAAGTCAGAAAAGTTTCTCATGTTTATTCAAGAAATTCCAACTCTAAATTTCTGTGGTCACTTTGTGTAAAACTTAAAACCTGCAAATCTTATGCAAGGCCTTGTGGTGTTTGTCAAACGGCACTCGGCAAAATTCATAGAACAGCTGAGGGCCTCAAGAGTGAATTTTGTGAGTTAAATGAAAGCATGAAACGTGCTTCCCATGATCATAGTTCGTCATCTATACATTTCAGAGTTTTGCCAATCCAAATTAAGAGGCACCTTGCAGTCTAAGTTTTGATCAACATAAACCGCGATCAGAGTATTGGAGGTCATTTATTTAAAACTCTGTTAGCAATTAATGTTGATCAAAAAGCAGCGGCGACTGTTAATTTTGATTGGCAATGCTAAATTGTCTCATGGATGATCCATTTTCATCGTGGAAACCAAGCTTAAAAGTTTTCTTGTACAGGACCAAATTGAGCTTCCTGAACCTGAATGACTATACAAAACACCTGTCCATCCAATAACATTCAAAATTTCCTGCAGATGCATTTGTCTCCTCAACAAAAGAGAAGAATACTTTAACTGACGATAGTACTGCTAAAATTAATTGAAAACTTACAAACTTAGTAACATTACAACACAGTATGTACATTTTTGTGAATAGGTGCAATTAAACTAAAGGAGAGGAAGAACAAATCACTCTGATTAAAGAAAAATCAACAATTCTTAATAAACTAATTTCAACTTAAAACAAACAAGAGGACCTGTCAAAGGAAGGAGAACTCTTCATGATAGAGCACGACCGACTACTAAATTTGTTCATAAATTGTAAAAAAATTCCTACCACGAGTTTTACAGCTTGGACAATTGAAGTTAAGAGATTTCGTGACTTTAATGAGTTGGGCATAACTAGTTGGGCGTTGCTTCTTCGTTCTTTCACAAATAATGAAAAAAGAAAATAAAGAAGCATGATAACAGCACACAGTTGAGCTCTGTTCTCTGTATAACTCTATGCTTTCCGCAACTCATATGGAAATAGAGATACCCCTTTCAGAGGAACGAAATGAGGCAGATTAATTCAGTTGTCCCAGTTGATATTTCTCTGGCTATTAATTTTGATCTATACCGGTTTAAACAGTTTGTAGATTCTCATTGATAATTAATATTTAAATATTGCACCGGAACTGGCCAATCTTGCTCATTTTATAGGTTCTCACACATAGGGCTTTCACTGTAAATATTGCGTAAAGAAGATAAACATTCATCAAAATAAAATAGTGCTGGATAATCATTAATGAGGTGATGGAGAAGGATGCAGTAGGTACACGTGGTAGGAATTTACCTACAAAGAGAGGGCATTTTTATAAAAATCCCCCAACTGAAGCTTTGAAGTAGCTTTCACTTAGAAATGAAATATACTATATTCTTACAATCTAAAAATCATTATATTAATATTGGTTAAAGGAAATCATAAAAGCGGTGCAATTTTCACCATTTTGGGAACAAAAAATTCCTTAAACATGGAAGGGAAGTAGCAAAAATGCATTGTCAAGAAATAAATTGACATCTTAACACGGAAGAATACAATTATAAAACGAAAAATAAAGAACATTAATTGGTGGGCTGTTCAACATGGCAATTATCTTCAATACAACTAAACTGAATATGTATGTGGAGTGATCAGAAGTTCCAAAAATTGCCCTACAACTTTATTGAAATAAATATTTTGTAAATAGATGTAATTAAGTTGTTCCGCCGTGTTTGGAAAAGCAGAAAACCTCAGAAATTCAACAATGCAAAGATATTTGTGCTAGCTTCATTAATTTGTTTACAGTGCTCATTTTAAGTTGCACATTTTTGCAGTGATCTGCAATAAAATATACAGATATTTCAGAATGTAGGTTTCCTTATTTTTTCCCCTAAAAACTATCAAGGGGAAACAAATTTCGAAAATAAAGGTTGTCTCATGCTACATACACGCCCTCTCTGTTACTGCGCAAAGTTCAATTGTTAATAATAACTGTCTCTTAATGTTAGCAATAGCCCCATAGAGAAACATATGTATCTCTATGAGAAAATTTGAGGGTGCCTCAAAGTAAGAAGGCACATAAAAGCTTACAACCTTTTACAATTTGCCTACTCAGCATTTGCTACTTATCAGAATTTTTATTCAAAAATGCTCTAAGATTAGCAATGATCGAAACTTATGAATGCATTCTCATCCAACGACAAACAATAATACTTTAAAGAAAATGCAATACCTAAAAAGTTTTACAAAGTATCCCCTTAACTCAGACACATACAGTAAGTATTTCTTCAAAATTGGGATTGATACTGAATACAATATAATGTAAAAATCATGGCTAAATGCTTCCACTAAAGTTACCAAAGACAAAAAATTATTTGCATCATTCATATCATTTCATTTCAAAGTCTCAACATATAATTATTATTATTATTAGATTATGAACTTTGCAGGTTTTGCAAGGTGAATTATACGCATGAGAGTAGTGGCGTCCGGAGAAATCTTATATCTCACTTGCACTTACCTGGTTGCCCTTCGAATCCACAGGAGCAACAAAAACAGACAAGATGAGGTAAGCTGCGACTTGCCTTGTCTTGCCTGTTCTTGTCTCACTAATAAGCTCAAAGGGTATCCTCAAGGGCAGATAAATGTGCGATTGAGTAATAAGATTTCTTTACAGATCTACAGTAAAATAATTTGGCAAGACAAACTATTTCATGGCCAGTGGGCTGGATAATAGTGGGTAGTCAAACCAACAAACAAATAAAATAAAATTCACAATCTATCAGTGATTGAAGCATAGAAAAAAAGAACTGACATTAGAGGAGAGAGCAGCAATAAAAAACTTTTTACCTCTAAAATTCGACTAGAAATTGGTAATTAGTGGCTTTTAACTAAAACTACGAAGTGCTTAATGGGGGCACATTAAAATTGGGACAGCTCTATAAATTTCACAAACTAAGTGCGTGTTTCAATAAAAATGTTGGATCTTCAAAAGAAGATAGGCAGTCAGCGGTAGACATAGGAATGCAGGGTTGTCGCAAGGGTGAACTGTCACAGACGCAGTGACACTAAAAATGAATTTGGCTCCCTCTAACCCCCCCCCCCCCCCCCCCCCCCCCCCCNACTCCCTCCCGGCCGATGGAAGTGAAGCAATTATCTCTGTCCCCTTTACCAAATCCTAAGAGGGTTCTGAATCAGGGTGTCTACTAAAACAGGTTAGCCAGACATCAGTAATTTTACAGTGCTTTTTCAGTACATTCCCAAGGAATTCAGTACCTCTTCAGCGGAAAAATTCAGTGCTTTTTCAGTACATACCGCCAATTGACAAAATTCGACAAATTTTAAAAAATATAAGTTTCTCGCTAAAATTACAACAGAAACGACAAAAAAATGATAAAATTCCAGACCTTTTAACGGAATTTCCGCACTTTTACAGTACTTCCAGACCGCCTTTAAAAAATCAGTACTATTTCAGGACTTGTAGACACCCTGTGAATATACTTCCCAAAATTATACTAAAAAACTAGGAAATAAATTCCATGAGTATGCATAGCACTTTCACTCCAGTTGCCAGTTTTTCCAACATTCGCCATTTTGATAATAACTTGAAAAAGGTAAATCTCATGATATGTAGAGTGTGAGTAGGCACTTCCATACTCTATCTCTTTCTTTTCTTCCTTCCTTTCTAAGCATGCAAAGACGCCGAAAAAAAATAAGCAGGGAATCCTGAACATGTATAACTGTTTCAGGAGAGAAGAGGGATTTTCCATGAGTATATTTGATTCATTTTTCCCAGTAGAGAGAGAGGGGGAGATGTGGGGAATTTCAGCAACGTATACAATTTCGTACTACTTGGGCCCCCACATTAGGTACAGGCCCTTGCGACAGGCCTGAAGGAATGACATACTTAATCTTTTTTGTTTTTGGAGTCAGATGTAGTACCGGCTTTCACTTTCTTCGTACTCAAAACTTTCTTGCATTCTTCATACAAGTTGTTCAAATCATAAGACGCCTTCACATTGTCCTAAAATAAACACACACAAAAAAAGGATGATTAATTATTTTTAAAGATACAAAACATCACCAAAATGACACAGAGGGCCTAAAAATTCTGAGCAACACAAATGGTGCTTTTAAATCAAACCTCCACACTGAACAAGTTTGATGTGCTAGCAGTCCCCAGAGCCTAAGATACCTAAAAGAGATACCTAAGTAAGCAAAAAATTAGCTTTTTCTGAGTCTGCTATTTCAAATATCCTCCTTATCGGAAAACCTAGGTTCATTCAGTTTCATCACATGCAAAACTAATTTTGAGATGTTTTATGATTGAAGAAGCATACAAAACGACAAAAACTGGATATCAGAAAAGGAATAGTTGTTCGTTGAATAATTAGTAGGTTAGATGTGCACTGATTCTGTTTTTTCCCGAAGTAAGAGGTTTCAATCCACTGACTCTGATACAGACTCCAAACGTTAATATTTCTAGAATGAGTCGATTTTGGAGATTTTCAGCATGTTACAGGTGTTTTTCAAACTTAAATTTTCATGAAGATTCATATCATGAGGTTCTTTTAGTCTTAGCCTGTCAATTAATTTCGCATGAGAAAAGAGCAAGGTGTGACCTCTGAATCTTGACTTGATTCGATACTTTTAGTACATGCAATGGTCTCACCCAAAAAAAAACTAAAATTGTTTGATTTGACATCGTTCATTTGGATATTCTTTTCTACAGTGGCATTGTCAAGCAGCACAGCCACTGACTCGACCAGTTTTCTTTTTTGCAAAAACTGAGAGAGAACGAAAGCCGACCTCATACATCCAGGAAAAATGGGCAATTCAATTTAAATTGAGTCATATTATTAAGCCAGGCCTTGACTTCACAGGCAGTTTTCAGAAGATTCGCTATGGGTAGCGTTGAATTACACGGGAGAAAATATGGCGATTTTCCCCGTTACCATCTTCACAGGCAGAGATTCTCACTATCTTGCGACATGAACACAATTAACAGTCAAACAAGCTATTTAGAATTTAGATAGTAGACAGGGTAAAATTAAATCAGCAGTATATTTGACCAAACATAAACAAGAACAGGCAATCAATTAAACAACAAAATGATACATGATATGTGTCTGCTTCTTCTTTTCCTCCCAGTGGCTTCTGAAAAGGCAATGAATATTGAGTAAGTCAATATTTGTCACCACTATATCGATGGGGTTCTTAGCAGGGGAATTCTGGGGCGACAAGACCCTAAAAATTAGAGGAGAATTAATCCCAAAGTCAATGAGGAATGAAATATATCAGGATGAAAACATTTTAAGGGGACTCTTGGTCAACTAAGTAAGTTACTAGTAGAGTTTAATCTACAGAGAGAATATTGAGATTTAAAAGGAAGTAAAAAAAGTAGAGCATCTATGATAAAATATAAATGAATTGAAAAACCATACAAAAGCTAGAATACACTTACTTCAGTGAAAAAGAATTTCTGAATTTTTCCTTTCGTGTCATATGCAGGCCGCCTGATGACTTCTTTCCCTTCTTTGAATAATATCAAAGTTGGCAACTGCGTACTAAGTGATGAATCATTGATGTTAAATTTCTTTGCAGCATCCGGATATCGGCCGATGTCAATTTTGCCAAACTTCAAATTTTCCAAACAATACCTGAAAAGGTTTCCCAGAGATTACTTCAATCAGTCAGGCAGGAGGAGGAGGAAAAAAATGAATAAATTTTGGTTTGTTGCATGTTGAGAGTATTATCTATGCTAACAGCTGAAGTGTCCTGGTTGTTCAAAACTAATGATGTCAAAAAAAAAAACAAAAAACGGACAGGTAATGTTGGATTTTCTTCTGTATAATTTTAAGCCTGCTAAATGAAGGAGACTTTTCCTGACAAAGAGAATCTACGTAACCATACAGTCAGTCGCAAAATAAAAGTCATAATTTTGACATTCAGAAATCTTCATTGTTGTTGTATCTTTTTGAGGAGTAAATGAAAGGAAATTTTTTTTTTAAATAATTTTTTGGTTCCATTCCAATTCCTAGTCTTAGCATTCATAAATTTTCTTTGAGTAAGAAAACGTTGGAGAATTGGACCTTCAAGCAAAAATTGTTGTTAAGAATGTGTGTATTATTTGTATCATGAGAATGGTGAATTTAGAATTACATGGAAAATTAGACCTGGGTAATTTGGATGCGGTTGGTACTCATTAAAATAAAGTTTCATACCCACAATTATGATGATGCTTCCCTGAAAAGTATGGGAAAGATATTAGACAAAAATCTATGTCACCTACCAAAAAAACATTGAAAAATGACATAAAAGATACGCTACAAATTGTACTGAAAGAAATAACTGAAAAAAGAGAAGCTGAGGTAAGTACTCCTCTGGTCTCTACAGCAGCAATGCAATATTATTTTGCATTACTTGTAAACAGCTTTAGGCTGTCTATGAGAAAAATTGATTTGATTGCTGGCTGCAGAGATTTGCCCTCAACTTGGCTGTCTGAGCAGCTGGCATGAATTTATGCGTACAAATAAATGAGTGAGTAAGAAGTAAAATATTCTCTCTACTCTCATAATAAATCTTTCATTGCTTCATTGATTCACAAGACTCCCTTGAATGGAAAAAATATAGTTCCATTTTCCTTTTGAATTACCAAATTTTCACCTTGTATAAGCGAATACCAATTTTTTTGTTTCGAGGAGAATGTCTAAGTAAAAATAACTGATACTTACTGCGATGATAACTGAGCAAATATCGGCGCAAAATTAACACAAGAAGGATTCCATGCAGTGTAGAAGCAAATTAACCACGTAACTTGTTTGTCTCTTTCCAATTCTTCCTCTAAATTGTGCAATGCACGGAAATAATTCACATAGTCAGGCCCAGAGTAAGTTGGTTCAGGCAAGAAGACTGCAACCACTAAAAATTATAAAAGAGAGAAAAAACAATAAGATGTCCTGAGAAATGAAAAATGTATAATTTGAGCTCAAATCAGTTAAACTTGCATAAGTACCCAATCAAAGTCTACGTATTTCCATCTGTTGTTTGATGTCATTAATAATCTGCAAATGACCTAGTATTAGATTCTTAGTGGGAAGAGTGAAACTTTGCGTCACTTGTCAACTTGCATATCATGTAATCTGCGTCTTCCCTATCCTGAGCATTTATGACCTGCTCAAAGGCAAAGCGTGGAGTTTAAATGGTTCATTCATTAGAGGGGTGAAAACCAATGTGAGCCATTCCCATTGCTTTAAAATGTGCTCCAGGTAGGTATACTTTGAACAATGTTAACCTAAAAACGCATTCCTGTTTTGAACCCTTTCAGACAACGAAATATTCAGACAGTTCCCCGTGTCATCGAAGTCTTACTATACCTAGTCATGGTATGAGATTTAACTTCAATTCTAAATAAAAACTTAGTTGTCCTCATGTCTCTGGGAGTAACTCAAAGGAACTGGGCAACTCTTTGAGGGACTAAAATTCTGTTGTCGACTATCCAAATTATAAGATAAGCATGAAAGACTCCTTGTTGACAAGACAAGTTAGGAAGATTCTGAACACTTTGATAAGTTGAGAGAAAGGTTGAATATGGCATAGATTAATTGGGCTGGAGATTTTTTAGGGTCTGACACAATTACCTTTACAGATGTTTGGATTTGGCCACAGATTTATTGAACAATATGTAGAAAAATTCACTATTAATCACTTTTATTCACTACTTATGTCATATTACTGCTCCTTTGACGTAAGCGCATAGCTCCATTCCCGCATAACGACGGCGTAAGTCCGCAACCACATATCTCATTTGCGGTGCTTGAAAATCTCCCCTCCTAAAAAAATAAAGTAACCAAGATAAGTGGTTGCAGACCTACACCGTCGATAAGTCCCTTGTGGCATGTAGTTATACAAGCGACAGAGCTCATCTCAAAATCCAGTTACACATTTATGTTGGAGGAGCGACCATATATGACCAAAATTACTTACAAATGAAAAGAACGACAAACAGTATGCCCAGTCGAAAATCTGCATAAAACCACAAAACCGTGTTCACTGCTTTTGTGTACATAAAACTCAGGGATAAATAGTTTATCATGGACACACTACCAGCCCTACGTGTACGTATCATTACGACTATCGCCAAGAAAAGCAAAATTTCTCCCTCTTTCTGAAAAAGAAGAGCAACCATGTATTAGAGAAATCGAGTGACTGGTAAATTTAAAAACTGAAAGTAAGCTGACATATTATTACCTACCTATTTAACTACTATTTTTCAATATTTTAAATTTTATTTTGCCGTTGCACATAACTGTGCAAAGAGGGTCACAAATTCAACTCCTTGCAGAAAGTTTCTTGGAGCAAAGATTAATTTCAATCTTATCCTTAAAAATGTTTCACATCCCGTGAAAGTTTACAGACAACGCTTAAAGAACTTTCAATAGAAACACGTTTTTCTGGTTTCTCTCAGTTCTTGCATAGAAAAAGGAAAAAAATAAAAAGGCAAATCCCTTATCATCATACATGAGGGAATGGCGACATACATCTTTCATTTTTGAGACAATCCATGGATTTCATACACGGTGTCGGCAGTTTTGAAGAAGGACGGTTTTAACCAATTTATAATGTACCAGCTTCTTCAGTTCTAATGAAGTTTAATTCAGATTAAACTTAGCAACCATTTGAATGTATTAGTTTAGATATCAGTAACAGAAAGATAGTGTCGAATAGAGATCCTTTTCAAGTTCAAACCTTATTGCTTCAGACCAAGTGACTCATGAACAGGCTAAAAGTAGAGTTGTTGGCATGATTGCATGGGCCCCTATTTACCTGGACAATATTAAAGGCAATTAAACTTCAAGTGTAGAATAATCTCGGGATATTTCAAGTCTGATTGAATCAACTCACCGAATCCAGTTCGCATCTTGAATCAGAATGAGGGAAAGTAAAGTTGCAGATCAAAGGAAATTTCTTGGCACAAATGTAAGATAAACTGAGTATAATATTTACCCAATAATAGGGTTTAAGAAGGGTTTTCAAGTCTTTTAAGATATCTTTAAACATTTTGAGGAATTTTGTTTCAGAACGAACACATCACAATTACAGGATGCTGTGAAAGTAGAGCACGTCACTTCGGACACTAGAAAATGGGCGTTCAAATATATTATGTATCCTACTTGCTTATTCTAACTTCTTAATTCCCGAATAATGTTAATTAAATGATTTACTAGAGAAGAGTATACTTCAGATTACTTGAACTGCCCGATTTTCATATCGGCTGAGAGGTGATAATAACTGATTAAGATGTTTTAAATTTTGAGGTTAGGATTGAAAGAAAATGTAAACAATAAGACGGAGTGAAACGAAGCCGCGCCTCTATTGGTTGAAGACATCGCGGGAAAACTGGGACCACTTTGAAATTTAAGAAGGTAGCAAGATTTTGGGATTTTCACCTATTTTGATTCTAAAAATTTTGGACTAATTAATTGATTTAATTTATTAGGTTTTACTACAATTTTCAAGTGTAAGTGAAAATAATTGTAATAATTAACCATGTATTTACTTTTCACTTGCATTGTAAGCTTCAAATAGGTACTCGATCGGTTTTCCTTTTCAACTTCAGTCTGAATAGGACTATACTGAAGAAAATTTTTGAACGATCACTCATGAAAATTTTCACAGTACAGACATTTTTTCAGCCACGGTGGATTATTTCAACTCGAGAAAGTAATTATCACCTCAGAGGCACTTTGCGAGAGCATATTTTTCGCACTATTCGATTAGGTATAACTTCCGCTGCCGCTTCGCCAGCAAGCAGTGTTCACAGCGCCTTCAACATTACAGATATACTTCATACTTTACATCAATACGCATTAATTATTATTGTCCTCATAATGAGGTAAAAACGGAGCAGCGAGTTAAGAATAATATCGCAGTCTTAACGGCGATTGTAGCGTCGCGCGAACAGCGGAGGGGAACGTGTTCGAGTTATCTTCGCAGAATGACGTGCCTTCAATCCTGGTAGCTGCAATATGCCTACACCCGTGGTCAAATAGTTATCTCATTACGCCTGCCGATATTGAATTCAAATATGGACGGTTGCGCGTGTAAAAAAGTGTATTTAATTCCGATTGAAACGTTAAACACCACTACTAATATTATACTAAAACTGCACAATTTTTTGGAAGAGTGTCCGAGAATTTTCCAAATGATTTCAAAGAAAACCACGAACAATTTCGACGCGATAGTTTCTTTCTTTCTTTTTTCACGTTCTTTTCAAACCGAAAATTTGAACGTCTTCCGAGTTTCCGAGTCGTTGCATCAATGAAGATAATTCGGATGTGTCAATTATCCATACTTCCTCTGCCGAAGATGCACGATGCTTGAAGGTGTAAATGGTAATAAGTACGTTCAACATCTCAAGGATTCAAAGTCAGACATGTTACGGTAATCCGTCAGTCTGTCTAAGTGTCAGGTAACAATTCCTAACTAAAAATTCTCTTTTGAACAATATCAATAGACATAAACTACAATTGGACCGCGATAAACAGAAAGGAACCAAGCCACTTCAGCTATTGCCAGATCTAATCGGGCAATTTAATTTTTTACATGTAAACGGTAGTGCGGATTTTTGTGCAAATTTCTATGAATTTTCTTCATAATACAAAGCAAATTCCTTAAAATTTTTAAACACTGGAAAAAACGCATTGGATCTAGAGTCTAGACTCTTTAAAACATCGATAAGAAAAAGTACTCTTGATTCAATCAGAATCTAGCTTAAATCAAGAACCACGCCTCTTAATTTAAGCGGATTTCGTTTTGATTCGAGCAAAAATCCGATTGAATCAAGAGTATTTTTTCTTGTCAATGTTTTCAAGAGTCTGGAATCTAGATCAAATGTGGTTTTTTTTTTCCAGTGAAGGAATCCGCACAAACGTTCTCTCGTAAAAAAATCAAATTCCCCTGTTAAATTTGGCAATAGCTGATGTGGCTTGGTTCCTTTCTGTTGAACGCGGTCCAATTACTGCCAGCACATCCACTTCCGTCTTGAAAGAATTGTGTCCTGCCAGCTTGTTATTATTTCACCGGTCGTTCTCTACCTCAATTTTAGTTGATTAACATGTTAAAAAAGTTGAAAATGTTTGAAGCAGCATCCAAATTAAAGAAGGGTGGAATTTCATGCACGTGCTGATTCTTTTTCCGTTCGACAACTTTGTAGTGAGGGCTTTGAGTCAACATAAGCATAGCAGGTAGCTATAAACAATTTGTGGGGTTGTTTGGTTACCCTTCACGAAATGACGGAGACCTAATGAGAACAGCCTGACAGCAGCCAGCCGGCCAGAGCAAAACGCGCACTGGCGCCTACAAACCTAATAGGGATACTTCAATCATTGCGCAATGCGTGAAGTATCCCCGTTAGGTTTGCAGGCGCCAATGCGCATTCCGCCGTGGGCTGCCTAAGCACATATGGTCACTGCACCCAGTGGATCGAGTCAATTCGAGAGGTCGGACATGAATATTTTTCACTAAAATTGCAAATTTCCACGTTTATTTCGTCAAATTTTAAACTTTGAGGGGTGTGCCTGGAGGAAAATGTCATGAGGAAACCGACCGAACCTTTTTATGAACCTCAAAGTTTTGTATAAACGGAGTTAAGAGCTATTAAATTTTCCAAATTTTGTCTGACCTTTCCCATTGACTCGATCTACTGTGCGGCATAGGTGCGGATCCTGACAACTCGAACTAGGAGGGGCGCTCTAGGGCCCCTCCTCCAGAACACTTTTGAGTTTTTGAAGCATTTAATTTGCATTTTGAGTTGAATAATATGTCCGTTTTGGTTTCGCACTTCCGTCGGTGCGATACGGACATCCATCAAGTTTAAACCAAGGTGCATCAAGTCCCCGTCACCGCCGACCAACGCGTCTGTCGATCGAATCAACTACAGGTAGTATGAGCAAGGAGTCGAAACGCCTTCAATTTTTTGAACGCAATGCGGACATCCGTCGAGGTTGTGTAGTTGTATCAAGGCGCCGTAGCAAACGCGTCACATTGTTCATCGATACAGACGAATATAAGTTGAGAGAGGAAAGTCATAATGCCTTCAATTGTATGCATAAATATTTTTGGGCAAGATGAGAGACGACGTTTCTCAATTTGCGACGTTGCAGACTTCCTTAGAAATTTTATTTTTCTTTCGAGAAGCTGGTCAACATAAAACATAAATTCTCTATGATTTTTCGCATTCGATAGCGGAAGATTTGGTTCAAAATTTAAAGTCGTAAAGGGTATCTGAATTGGGTATATGAATTTAATGGTCTAAACCCTTTTAGGAGGTCCTTAAAAACATGTTGTTGGGAAATTTTTACCTCCTGACCCCAACCACCCCCCTCCAGCCCCGAAAAACCCATTTTTCGGGGAATTTCGGGGTATTTTCACGTTTTATTTCATATCTCACGCGTTTTTCGATGAAAATTCACCAAATACACATCTGACCGATCAGATTCTTGGGGAAAAAAATTAAATTTATCGCAACATATTTGGGAAAACTACTTTTGAAGTTTAGGTGCGGAACTTTCAAAGAACAGATTCCCATGAATCACACGGAATTTAGAACAATAACGATGCTCATTGACTTTTTGACGGAGTGAAATGTGACAGGAAATCTTTAACAGCACAAGTCTGAAGATACGTACAAAATATTCTGGGTGCAATTATGAAACTAATGCAGTAAAGTCTGGTAAGTATATAAATGAAAATTATATTTTGTTCTGCTCTTTCCCTACTGTAATGTGAGCTGCGTCTAATCCCCTGACTCATATTTTTCTACGATGTGAATTGGTTCTTTTGTTTAATTCAAACCATATAATGCTGAGTGAAACCTATTAAAATAATTCTGTGTTGAAATGGAGAATTTGCATGCAAACTTTTTACTGCTTCATCTGAAAGTGCTTAAAGAGCTGATTTCACAGTATTTTTCTGATATGGGAAATGGGATGAAAATATATTTAAAAGTGAGAAAATGCACCGCCTAGTGACGTCATCTGGCGGCATTTCCTATTTAAACACACGTATTTTAGCAGATCAGATCATTTTGTCACATCTTCTCCAGTAATTGTTCAATTCATGAACCAAGGGTATCCTTGTGTTCAGTTCACTTAGTAGTTTCCACTTGAACACGAAATTCATCAAATTTCAGACACCTGCAAATTCTCTATTGTTGTCTTATTATTGAGAGCAGCAATTCCTAAATTAGGTTTAGAGGTGCATAGAACACACGAGTAAGGTTTTAATTGAAAATAAAATGTATTTTGTACATGTGTTACGGCAGGTAATAGAAAAAAAAGAAGAAAAAAAACATTTTACAGTGAGTTACCCTAAATAAAAATAGTTAGGTTGAAGAAATAAATCACTGTGAGTATAAATTAGTTTTGATTAGTTGACTGGAGGACACGGACGGATGCGGGTGGTATTTTGGTCACCTCTGGAACAATCCAAATAGTCTTCTAGACGCTCTTTTTTGGTCTGCAGATCTTGCACTATCAGTTTTGCTACCGGGTTGCTCTTGGTTCGTTAATTTTCGTCGCATTTGTTCGTCTAATAGTGCTTGCATATCCATCTGAAACAAACATAACCACATCATAAATTTAATGGTACTATCATTGTGAAAAAGCACTGCTACTCAAAAAACACGTAAAAAATAGCCTTTACCCAAACGCAAAGAAGTGACTTGAACGCCAGATCAGTTTTCCTTCTATTCTCAGTATAGGCAACACAAATTCCCACGTGATTGAATAGTAGTATCGTCGTAAAATGGAAGTTACTCAGAACTCGTGCAAAAAAATAGCCTTTTACTGGACGCAGAGAAGTACCGAAACGGCAAGTCAGTTTGCCTTCAATTTTTAGTATAGGCTACACCAGCTCCCACGTGATCGAATAGTCGTATCATCGTGAAATGGCACAGTTAAGTACGCGGAACGCTCGCAAAAAGGTTATAGGACATTTCGTCGACGATTTTTTGTCCGCGCATCTGTTTTTTCTAGTAATTTACGTCCACACGTTCTTTCGGCACGGGAGTTTTGGTCCACGTGCCAGTTGAGACCCAAAGTTAATTGGCCCACATGTAAATATAAACGCCAATTGCTCACGACGTTTTTGGATGAAAATGTATAATGTCTTGGGAGAATGAGGGTTTGCTTATTGTTTTTTTGTTTTGTCTGTTTGGTCCGACAGAGAATAATATATAGTTGAGAGTTTTGGTAAACAAGGGGGAGCGTCAATTCCATGAGACAAAATTCACTAATACTCTCTACACCTCTTCGGTGTAACAGGACTTAATTATCTTTCAAGATATTCCCACCTTGTTATACCTGAACCGGATAAACCGGGGAATGAAGAGAAAGAAATGAAAGAAACCAAGAGAGGTGCAACACCTCTGTTGTGAAATAGTTACTTCAGGCGCCGCCGCACGGCGGGCGGGCGGTCAGCGCGGAACGCGCATTGGCGCCTACAAACCTAAGTGGATACTTCAAGCATTGTGCAATGAGTGAAGTATCCACTTAGGTTTGTGGGCGCCAGTGAGCCTCTCACGGCTATGCGTGAAGTATCCACTTAGGTTTGTAGGCGCCAGTGAGCCTCTCACGCTGGCAACACGCCGCTCCGCTCTGTTAGGCTCTAATATTTATACTCGCATAGTCAGCGTTTTTTAACTGATGATTTTGAAATGTTTGCACACTCCGCATTGATTATTCCCATTTAAATTGATGGGGAAAAATATGTATCAATTTATCAAAGGAGAATAATAATATAATGTGTCTTTTTTAAACATTGGTGGTTCCGTGTCAAATTTGATGATTCCCAAAGCACTTTATTTTTTTCTTTTACGTTTTGTGCTTTTATTGTGCTGCAGCGAGGTCTGTGTACGCGCAACCAAACGCTCAAAATTTGACGTATTTGACTCTAAAAGATCGATGTACAAATGGGTTAAAACTAAAGAATGCGTGCTTCTTGGTTTTTTTTCCTCTTTTATTCATTTTTGCAGTTTCTGTCGGCACAACTGCGGCTCATTGAGTTTAATGTCGCTTGAAAAAGGTTTTACAAATATCTGTCACGTTTTAAAAATATAAATGTTTTAAAAATGAAGTAATAATTTCGTAAAGAAAAAATTTTAAAAAAATGAAAAAAGTACCTATACATATATAAGGTATATTGTACATAAACTACTGGACAAAAAAGGTGCGCCGACAAAAAATCGTCGACAAAATGTCCTGAAACCCGCAAAAATAGCCTTACCAACACTAAGCAAAGAAGTGGCTGTAACACAATGTCAGATTGCCCTGAATTTTCAGTGTATACATATAGGCAACACAAGCTTCCTCTTGATCGAATAGTGGTACCATCGCATAAAACGGCACAGGTACTCGGAACACAGCTCATAAATAACATATTACAAATGGACCGCGTTTAACAGAAAGGAACCAAGCCACACCAGCTATTGCCAAATTTAACAGGGAAATTTAATATTTTACGAAAGAACGTTTGTGTGGATTCCTTTGAAAATTTGAAGGAATTTGCTTTGTACTGTGAAGAAAACCCACTGAAATTTGCACGAAAATCCGTACAACCGTTTTCCTGTAAAAAATTAAATTGCTCCCTTAAATTTGGCAATAGCTGATTTGGCTTGGTTCCTTTCTGTTTAACACGGTTCAAATAACTAAGAAGTGACTTTAATGCCAAATCAGTTCGCCTTCATTTTTGAAGGTAGGCATTACGAGCTCCCGCGTGGTCGAATAGTGGTGTCACTTCGACGAGTCGCATCGTGTTGGTCGTATTATTGGGTTCAACTCACCTGCCATTGCTCTAATTGTTGACTTAGTTCTACTTTTTGCTGGATGGCCTCCATGAGTTGACTGTTGGCCTGGAGGACATCTATCCTAGTGCGGGCGAGCTCGACCTGCGTGGCGTTCTTCCTGGCGACTGCGCCGTCGCGCACCTCCCACGCCTTGCGCACCATCTCGTCGCGCGCCAGTCCGTTCAAGTCCTTCAGGTCGGCTCGTGCGCGATCCCGTTCTTCCTTTGCTCCGGCCAGCTCTGCCTCCCTCACACTCAGCTGCAATACACGAACGGGAAAAATTAGTTCTGTCATGTTCAACGATTAAAAATAAATCGATGAGAACGAAAACGAACCAACTCCGAAAAATGAAAGTAATCAAGACTCTCACAAAACTGCACAGTGGTTGACGAAATTAGTCTACACTGGAAAAAAAAAAAAAAAAAAAAAAAAAAAAAAAAAAAAAAAAAAAAAAAAAAAAACACACATTGGATCAGTCTAGAGTCCAGACTCTTAAAAACATCGACAAGAAAAAAAAACTCTTGATTCAGTCGGATTTTTGCTTAAATCAAAAGGAAATCCGCTCAAATTAAGAGGCCACGTTCTTGATTTAATCAAAAATCCGATTGAATCAAGAGTATTTTTTTTGTCGATGTTTTTAAGAGTCTGGACCCTAGATCCAATGTGTTTTTTTCCAGTGTAATAAAGAGATTTTTGGTGTCAAAATACAGGCACTTAAGGACATTTTTAAGGTCCAAGTTGGAACAGACGCGCCAACTCCAATGACTTTAATAAAAATTGACCGCCTTTGATAAAAATTGAGCATTTTCGAGTTACCGAGGTGGTGTCTTTTCGATCTCACTGATTCAAATACACTTTCCGTCTTGCCAAAAAAAGTAGTACTTGCACTGCCGTGCTAAGGAAGAACGCCGTATAAGCCTCCAGGTGTTGCCAAGTTCCTGTGATAAAATGCAAATTTATCGGGAAAGTTTTAAATATTTTTCTTCCAATTTCTTGGACAATTTTGTTCGTAAAATGACCTAAAATATCTGAAAATGTCAAGAAAAGATATGCATAACTTTCCTCGAAAATACATATTTCATCAGGCCAAATCTGGCAACTATCGAATGTTCATACGGCATTCTTCCCCAGCACGGTAGCGTACCTAACTCAAAGAGCCTCTCGAAAAAGTGACCCTTTCCTCAAGTAGCAGTGATCGCGATAAGTTGCGATTTGATGGGAGAGGGTGTCGCAATTTTATCGATGGCGATTTATCACAATATTATCGAATAAAAAATCGTTATAAATTGAACTACAATTTCGATTTCATACAACGTGATTTTACAGAGATAAAATTGCGACAAGATCGAGGATAATCGCTCAGACGTTGATGGTCGCCGAGCGACTTTATCGCCAAAAAATCGTATGAACACTGCAACTTAATTTGAAAATATTGAGATTTTTCCGTTGAAAAATGATACATGGGTTTGGAGGAACTCAGGTTTTTCGTTCAAACACAAAAAAATGAATTAAAAAATAACCCAAAGTAACCAAGAAAGAGGAACTCGCCGGTCAATATACGAGAATACGACTGTTTAAACGCGTATGATCAACTTTTGCCAACGCAATCAACTGAGAGCGAGACTTTCTATCTGGCATGGAGGACTTTTCGACTCCATTTCGGCGTTTATTATTCTCCATTACACAAAGATAGATCTTACGTTTCGACAGGGTCGCATGTTTGCTCAGATTGAGGATCGAAGTCTCTTGTCCCTGTAATGCGACGGCCATACAATCAACCGTTTAGGGTTGAAAAACAACCTGTTTTGGATTTTACGTTATACCTTGCTGGTGAGTTCCATGATGGTTTCTTGTCTCTTCTTGAGTTCGTCTTTCTGTTCCTCGTGCTGCTTGCTGAGCCTATCGACAGTCTCTCGTGCCCGGTGGAGATCAATTTCTAGCTCGGTTACGCTTACATTACTACTAGAGTAATCACTACTCGAGAGCTCAGTCACCAGTTCACACAATTCAGAGATCACACAGGTTAAGACGCCAACCTGAAAATCAACGCCACATCTCGTTAGATCGAATAATATCACGTGAAAATTTCTTAATTTGCGCATAATGTACTATGTGTCGACGCCGGATTTAGGGGAGGGGGCAAACGGGGCGATGGGCCCAAGTCCCCCATCACGAGGTATTTTTTTTTAAGGGAATACCTGCGGATGAGTTGTTGACCTCATTACTGATGATTCTTCTCATTTAATCATGAAATTGTAAGTTCCGTATATATCTCCCTAGATGCATCAGTGTCTGTCCTAGATGTGAATTGAAGTCTTCATAACAAGCATGATTTTGAGGAGGGGCTTCCGCGGGGCCCCAACAGGCCCTAAAGCCTAAATCCGGCACTAGATTTAGCACTTACTAAAAAAACATTGGGAGACTTTTAGGAAGGAGGAGGAGGAGGAGGATGAGGAGGAGGAGGATGAGGAGGAGGAGGAGGAGGAGAGGAAGAAAATAAGAAACCCTCAATAATTTCATGTAAGCTCCACAGTAAAGAGGAAAAATTGAGATTTCCGAAAACTTTGACCACGCTTGGGTATCCGACCGGAAGTTAAAGAAACTTAGGAAGCAGAATACCGGATACCTACAAAATTGATACGGTAACTACATTGAATAAAAACACGCTTATTATAAATCTGAGCATTTGACCAACACAGCTCTTTTGCGAATTTGCTAAAATTGATCATAATTTTAGCAAAGTGAAAAATAGATTGCTTACGATAAGCGCCTGTGTACACTTAAATTATGTATAAAAACATAGATTTTTATGGGGTTAATCTTATGGTGATTGATTTTTTAGTTAACAGGAAAAGGTAAGTTGCGATGCGAGAATAGGCGGCATTTTTCCACGTCCAAATTTAGTGAAAGGTTAGCTCTAAATATACTCGTAGAAATGCAAGGACAAAATGAATGATACATACTTTGATTTGTTGCACATTGACTTGATCATGGTTGATCGACGCATCCATTGCGTCTCTACTGCGACTCCTCAGTTGGTGACATAAGGTCTTGACTCTTTCGTAAACAGATACTATTTCTTGTTTTAACTGAAACACAAAATGAAAATCGATAAGATTAATTTTTTCAAAGAAAGCGGGATGTACCGTATTTTTTGTGTGAGACCTTTTGTGAACTTGGAACGGAACGATTTAACTTCACTATTATTGAAATGAAGAGACAAGCCATTAAAATCAACCCGTCGGCTATCGACAAATACTCCAAAGCAGCTGTTAAAAGTGCAGAATCAAAACAAGTTTAAGAGCTTTCAACTAAAAAGCTTCGACTTCGTCTGCTGACACAACACAAAAAGGACAACCCCGATGAGTAAACGAGGGAAATTTGATTATGTCTTATTGATGAAACATCTTTGATAAAAAAAGAGAAAGAGGAAATAAAAAAAAAACTCCCGAATTGATAAGTCATTCTGCAAAGCTCCATTTGTTGAGCCGCGTTTCAACCAAAAAACATAAAAGTAATCGTTAAAGAAGCTTCCACAAGATAATTTTTTTTTTTTTAAATGTGATCTATTCCTGGTAATGAGAGTGCGTAACACTTGCCGTTAACACGCTACCTAACTTAAGAGCAAATATCGCTTAAGTTAGATTTGAGGAATGATTCCATTGCTGATCCATACTCGTGAACACTAATTAAGACTGACTTCAGTATCACTTGTACTTTTTGGCTTTTTGTGCTTCGACTTTTTGGTACTGATGTAACAGATATTTGTCGCTTATTCCGCCTCAAGAATAGATTCGTTCCGGGAAAAATGCCTCTAACCATTTTTACCAGGGATAAAATTCACTTAAACTATAAACGCGTATACAAACTAGTTACGAAATGTAACTCACGCGTATTTAAATACATATTTCAAATGGTAAGTAGTGTTGCATGGATTCCGTTACATTCATGTTAAAAAGTATTACCTCGGGCAAAATTGCACAGAAAATGCATGAATATGACTTTCAAGGACTAAACAAATGCGTGACTTAAACGGAATCGTTTGGAATTTTCAAGGGACTAGATGTCAATTTACAACACAAATTCCTCTTTATATTACCTGTGTTAGTTCATCTCCTGGAGAAGAATTTGTAAGTGTGGCAGTGGTTGTTCCAACACCTTCTTCACATTCCATCTCACTGAGTAACGATCGATGTCCTTGTCCTATCATTCCTATTGACTCCAAACGTGTTCCTAAATTACCATTTGTTGCTCTTAAATCTTCTAATTCTCTATGCGATACTCGTAACTGAAAAGAAAAGTATAAATAAAACAACTATAAAAACAGTGTGAAAGTAAGTTTTTTGGTTCATTTGACGATAAAATGGTGACATTTACTCAAAAAAATTTACTCAAAAATCCGAATAAAAATATAAAAGATTTTAAATACACAAATAAAAGCCTGTCAAATGTAGATCAAAACGAAAATTAATTCATCTCCGAGAGGAATATATGAGTCCTTTCAGCAATTCCACGAAATGGAGACGAACAATTGAGACTTACGAATAGATAGCGGCATAATTTCAATATTACGGATCGTAATTGAGACCTAAAGCTCAGCCGAAGATTTGACTTGAGAATATAAAAAAAATTGATTATAAAGTTACGGCTAGGCGTAATAAAAACAAACTCAATGGACTCTCCGTGTAAATAAGACACTATCATTTAGTGCAGAAAAATAGACAAAGAAAGATATTTACTCATTCTCTCTAAAGGGCTTCTTAATGTCCAATAAGCCCTGCTGATTTTTCGAGCATCTATTAATGATGAAAACAGATGAAAACAAATGAAAAGAGTGTTACCTGAATTTCTTGTTCCCTAGTTTGTTTCTCTAACATCATTATCCTTTCACTAGCTTCTTCTAAGGCTACACTGATACTATCTCTGTCACATTGTAAAGTATGAAGTCTTTTTTCTAATTCACTTTTTCTCTCCGACATCATTTGAATCTGAAAAGAAAAAGAAAATAGGATGATACCACAAAAATATAGAAGCGTCAAGCTGCAGGTACACTGAAGGAATGCAAGTTGTGATCATCGCAAATTCTTTGAAACCCCTTCATGACCACTAAAGATAAACTTTTATCATACGTAGATTGATTCAAGTGCTAATACAAATTTTAAATAAAACGATATAGATTAATGAAACATCGAATAGGGGATACTTAGTTATTCCTTCGTTTAAATTACAAATAAAATGATGACACTTCTGGTTCTTGTTATTTATTTGATTTTTTATTATTTTTTTTTTTTTTAACTTTCATTTTACCTTCTTTTTACAAAACAAAGAGGAAGAGGAAAGAGCAGGTACATTGATACAGTTTTGAAAAATGATCGAATACCTGTATGCGTTGGCAACCATTCTGATGTTACAAATTTTCTACAAAAAATTTTATGAAAATTTAACCATACATTTATCCTTGCTGTTTTTTACCCGCTCTTTTCACTGTGTTTTTATGTTTAGCTTTTCTAGACAGCTTGAAATCTAGAGACTTACCTCATCTCTAAGTACTTCGAGGGAACTTTGGTGATCTTGCAAACTCGACTTCCTAAGGTTACATTGATCTCGTAAACCTTGTAATTGTAACGTTAGAAGTTCTTCTTGTTTGCTTGACTGGAAACAGAATAATGGAGCAAATGTATTTAAAACAAAGTAGAAATTAAAAAGTTATGAACTATCATAGTTTTTAATGAAATTCGAGATTCGGATGAGAAATTCCTTCCTTGGAAGATAGCACATACGTTTGAATTTTGTGGGGTCAAAACCCCAATCTTTGTTTTTTATAGCAAACATTCAAGTATTTTTCTTCGTGACTGAGTGACTAGAGAATAGTATTAAAGTCTTAGAAATCGTTTCGATCACTTTTCCTCTTTTGCTGTATGCGCGGGATAGAAAATTACGCACAACGAAAGTGGAAAGAAAAAGTAATCTGAAAAGGGCTCTAACGATTTATAAGGATCGTCGCTTTTGGAGGGTAAAAGTAGATATTTTAGAGCCTTATTTTCCTTTTCATTAGCTTAAATAATAATAAAAACGATCTTGTCACAATTTTAATATACCTAAAATCTGTCTCGGATATTGAGGTATCGAAATTTTTGAAGAAATCTACAAGGAAAAAATGGAAAAGAAATGCTGCTTTAAATAATGAAAATTGTAAACAAGGTCGGACTAGATCTTTGGTTTAATACTTTATATATAACTAATTTTTACTCACCTCTTTAATTTGAATTTGCAATCTTTGGTTTTGTTCCGTGAGCTCAGATATGAGAAGCGCCTTCTCTTTCTCCGTCTGCTTGAGAGAATTTTCTCTCTCGTCCAGAGCATTTTGAAGTTCCCTGATATCCGCTTGTAATTCTAATAGACGAGTATCACATTCTGACTGAGTTGATAGAAGCTTCCGCCTAAGGAGATGTCTATCTTGTTCTATTTCCTGCAAAAATCAAGCAAACCCCAAAATATTTTAGTTCAAGTCCTTCAAACAGTCAAAAATGGACACAAAAAAATCTTAATCTCTTATCTAGTTACTAAGAAACGTTTAAGAAACATTAGCATGGAGAGGATTGACCTTTGGTATGAATTTAAAGTTAAGGAATGATCGTATCATAGAAACAAAATCAAGTAAAAAGAAAGTCAAACATAATTGTTTGAAATAAAATAAAAAAAAATTAAAATTAAAAAATGTTAAAAAAAGAAACATTGAACATTGTTCTACAACACCTGTTATCTATGATTGAACTTAGAGGTAAGGAAAGAGTGTAATAAGCTTAAAGGGGGGAAGGGAGGTATAATTTGATGCGGCAGGGCACGTTACAAAAAAGGAGAAAAAATAAGAACGCATTGAATGTAATTGGACAAACAAACGCAACGTAACCTCAACAGGCTTGCCCGCCCGGCAAAATTACGTTGTGGCAACGTTGCCAAAACGTTGCAATTTCGCCATTCACGTATTCGGGCAACGTTGTGGTAACGTTGCCACAACGTGTAATTTTGTCAGCTTGCATGAACGTAATTGGCAATGTGTCTGCAATGTGTTTTAGCAACATAATGGGAATGTTGCAAAAATACGTTTTAGCAACATAATGGGAATGTTGCAAAAATACGGTGAAANGGGTTGGCAGTCAAAACAGAGAAGATTCTGTGATTAGATAATTAACTATGACGGAATCGGAACAACTTCAGCGGGCATTCCTCTTTTCGTTAGTTTTTTATTCGCCATCTGTTCCGTCTAAAGTAATCATTTTTGTTTCTCCTGAGCTGATCTCGTTACGATCTGGTCGATAATACTCAACATTTGAATTCGCTGGAGTTAAAACCGCGGAGATGGCCGTCATTAGATGAGCCCTGGAATAGAAGCATTCGTAATGAGCACAGGACTCATCAGAAAATAGATTTATTGCGATTTAACATCGACTGATTTTCGCTTGGGTACTAGACCGATAGGAAGAGAATTAAAGCATCACGGTTAACCGGGACGCACAGTTGCCAATTTGTTGAGAACTCTCCAAATCTACATTGAAGAACCAATGGAAACTAGGCAATTTTAGTACGAAAATCAGTCGCTAATCAGCCAGGAAGTGGTCGCTGTTTTGCGCTGTTGCATATCACCTAGAGCTCTCCGATTTGACCCTCGGCAGTTCTGCAACATCAACCATTTGTTTTAAGTTCGGCGACTATGGCGCTACATCTTTGCATGTCGGACGGTGGACACGCTTCATTTGACCGATTTACGAATCGGTCGAAACAAGAGCAATATTCCTCTCCTTCTTATCCAGTCGGTTGCAGGGAATTACTTCCCTTCCCTGCTCCAAACTGAAAGAACGCGAATCGAGAAACATTTTCAATAGGCTGTTGGTTCAAATGTAAACGGATAATCTGTCTCGTCGTATTTACGCCACGATGCTCGAATGCGTCTAAGTGTCGAAATTTCTCGTGTTTGAGGATTCATAAATTGACTTTTGATTAATGTGAATATTCAGCGTTAGTTCCGGAAGAAGCACCATGCCGCATCAGGGCCAGATTCAGGGGGTGGCCACATGGGCCGCGGCCCATGGCGGCAAATCTAGGGGGCGGCATATTTTTCAATTTTGTTTAAATGTAGGTATAAAAAAATTGGATTTAGAAAAAAATTACAAACGAGAAAAGGCGACAAAATCTCTTATTTCCTGAGAATATAGTCATATCTAATGTTGTATGATGACGAGGACTTCAGATGAAAAGGAGATAGCCTTTGGCGCGGCGCTGTCGGCATGTAGCACATATTAGCGCCTACAAGACTGCACGAATACTTCACGCATTGCATCAAACACAGTGCGGTCAATGCGGTCAGCGTGAAACGGATAGCGCCTACAAGAACGCATGAAAACTTCACGCATTGCGTCAAACACAGTGCGGTCAATGCGGTCAGCGTGAAACGGATAGCGCCTACAAGAACGCATGAAAACTTCACGCATTGCGTCAAACACAGTGCGTTCAGTAGCGGTCGGCGTAAAACTCAGAGGGCCTTCAAAACTGTCGGAATACTTCACGCATTGCGACACGGTGCAGTCTGCGCGGCGCGGCGGCGGAAATTAAAATCATTAAACCACACTTATGTTGGTTCTTTCATAATTTTTTCGTTCATTTCTTATGAATGGAAGGCCTTGTTCACACAGAGATAGGTTTACGAAACTTAACTTTCGCGCAAAGTTCGGTGAATTTTTGCTAGTAGTGTTGACAGGGCTCTCCCAAAAAATGTGTCCAACACGAGTAAACGCGTCTCATGCACCCCAGCCCCGCTAGCACGTTCACTTGATGGCTTTTATTGATGTTTCAAAACGAATGAGAAGGGGCGGCAAGTAGGTAAATCCGGCCCTGTGCCGCATTGCTAAAAAGAGGCTCCGCAATCAGCGATTATTCGAACAGCAAATGGATGTAAAATTCTAAGACTCATAAGTTCTGGCAGCATATGTCTAAAATAGGTAATACCGAAAAAGAGCTTCGAAAGGCTCTGGGTTTCGCAAACCCCTGGAGGTTATTATGGGACAAAAAGGTATATTTTTCTCTGAGTGGATTGGACTATTTTCTGGGAGGGACCCAAAACTCCGTGCTTTTTACGGGAATGCGGAGACAATAATTTTACGATTTTTTAACTATGGAATCAAATTGAGTGTGAATATGAAGTCGTGAAAAGTGAAAAATGCTTCAGGTCTTTTCTTTCAAGAGGTGTAACGAGACGGGTAAAAGCACGCAGATTATCTAAAAGTTATAATTCTTTCACTCACGCAGGTAACGAAATTTTCCACCCGGCACTTCCGCGATAGTTGGAGCCCCTCTGCGGAGCTTGCGGCAAAACTCTCAAAAAGTAAGTTCATTCGCACTCAAGCGTAGATTGAAGACAAGTTCAGACGCAAGTTCATCTTGCTCAAGTGTGAGATCAATACAAAGAGTTATTTACGCTCTGCGCGCGGCACCACATCGACACCGAAAGTGCATCACTCTGCGGCAGAGCGAGTCGACGAAAACTGCACCCTGGAGACATTCGCGAAAACAAAGAAACTGCACACCCACTAAGCCCAACGCGCCATTTTCAGTGCATTAAGCACAACCAATTAAACAGCCTGCAAAGAGCTGCAACATTAGTTCTCAATCCCACTCCCCATGTGCATGAAGTTCGAGGGATCTTTGTACTCATACTTTCCATCAGATTTGCTTGACTCTCAGAAAGTTTGACCCATGCTTCTCAAATTTTGTATTAGAGAATTTGCAGGTGTCTGAAATTTGATAAATTTCGTGTTTAAATGGAAACTGCTGAGTCAACTGAACACGAGTATACCCTTGGTTCATAAATTGAACAGTTATTGGAGAATATATGACAAAATGATCTAATCTGCTAAAATGCGTGTGTTTAAATGGGAAATACCGCCAGATGACGTCACTAGACAGTGCCTTTTTTCACTTTGAAATATCATTTTGTATTATTTCCCAAATCAGAAAAAAACCCTGTGTTTTTTGCTGGTCTGCTATATAAAATTGGTTGATGAGCTAAGTTTACAGAATTTTTTTTTTTTAAAAACAGTTTTTGATATAGGAAATTGAAGAATAAAGTAGATATTTGAAAGTGAGAAACTTAACCGACTTAAACGTCAAAAAGCGGCGGTTCCCTCCTACACGTATAGCAGCAGAGTAGATCGTTGTGTCATAAATCATCCGATCTTAGTGTTCAATTTAGGAAACGAGGCTCTTTTCGTACTCAGTTCAATTTGTGGCTCCCATTCATAAAATAAATTCATCAAATTTCAGACACCTGCAAGTTCTTCATTGCTTCACTGAACAAATGATTCTGATGGTATTGGAACGATGCAAGATCCTGATTACTGCATCAAAGTCAATCTCATTATTCTTCTTCGATTCGCTTTAAATAAATTTCCGTGTGTGTATTAAAGATATGTTTCAATTGTAAAAATGACGCAGCACTGCTGCTCAAAAGTTAAAATAAATTGTTGATGAAGTAATAAATGGCTCCACAATGGGATCTAACGAGGCTATGATTACTTCCTTGCATTGTCGTCGGCTGCATAGCTTTCATCGACATGAGACGATGGGCATAAGGTCTGAGAGATTGGCAGTTTAATTATTATATGTTCTCAATGGCGGTATTTTCGTGTCTCGTCATGAGTAAATTACTGAATGAGTCGGATAATCTACTGCACAGGGTAAAAAATTAGGCACGACACATTTGGCTCATCAAAATTCCATACGAAACACGGTGAACACATGATAAAGTTCCGAATTCAACTCATCAACGAGGAGTCCGCATTTTCTGTGCTTGTTTATTTAAAATTTTCGCTTGATCAAAAAACCAAGTCTACTTGCAACCAAACTAATTTCGGTATCCCTACGCATACGATGCAATAATTTCTTTAGTGTGCTGAACATTTAGAAACAAGTCAACAAATTTTGTTGTCTCCGTTAGGTCGTTTGGAAATTTTGTACGGGTGGGACCCGACCACTGACGAGATATTTGAAGTCAGGTAGGATGCTTGTCTCTCGGAAATAATATCATTTGAATTCATGAACACTCGTTTGCCTTGAGTGCCCTTTCAATCCTTTAACGTTAGAGCCATCGCCTCCTCAATTTATTGGCGCTTTTTGCTAATTTCCTTTTAGATATTTGGAGGGGCATGAGAGACAAATAAAGAGAAGGAATGAAGGGGATACATTAAGGAAAATGGAGAATAGGGATGAGTGGGGGAGGAAAAGAGAGAAAAATAATACACTTGGTGGAAATCACTATTAATCTCATTTTTTGACTCGAAAGAGGTGATCATCATCTTGCCTAACATCAGGAAGCGCTTCGGAAAAATGTGCATTTTATTTTGAAGAAGCGACCCTTTGGAGGTACAATACTTCAATGCAAGGTGGCTTTTGAGACTGGGGATTACCTAAAATATG